GTTTGTTTTTTTTTTCTCCTCTGCTCCATCCGTTGTATCGATGTATCGCGCCCGTTGTTCGGGCTTAGCTTTGTGTCCAGACGTAATATTTTTTCCTTCTTAAGAGGATTTTCATGGGTCATAAAATTATTTGGAATTTGGGATCTTATTTTATTCTAATTTTTTTTTTTGTATTGATAATGTTTGATATAGTTTATTAAAATATAATTAATTTTAAAATATTTAAAACATCTAAAAATTATTTTGAATCTATTAAAAATATTATTATTTATTTAAATATAAATAAAGATATATTAAAAAACATGTGAAAAATAAAGTTTTTATGTTCACCTATATAATAAATGTATCTCTCCGTTGTTTATCATTAAAATTAGTTAATATAAAATTACACCAAAAGCAATCTGATACGAACCAAAATAAGCTTAAATCAAACACTTATAACATAATAAAAAACTTTGAAATAATAATTAATTAGATATCAAACGATCTCCAATCCTTCAATCCCACAGTCAAGTTGAGAGGTTCAACGAGGAGAATCAAAAGTGTTTATGATCATTTCAACAACACTAAAACACTCTATCAAACGATCTCCAATTCTTCAATCCCACAGTCAAATTGAAAGGTTCAACGAGGAGAATCGAAAGTGTTTATGATCATTTCAACAACACTAAAACACTCTATCAAACGATCTCCAATTCTTCAATCCCACAGTCAAATTGAAAGGTTCAACGAGGAGAATCGAAAGTGTTTATGACCATTTCAACAACTCTAAAACACTCAAATACTCTAAAAATGGGGTATGATCAAGGTCATGATTCATATGTTATTCATGATGAATATTACCATCAAAATCTAAAAATAAAATCATACAACCTCCATTAGGTCATCATTACCGTCACTTCTCCAATATTTTTGTGTCAATTTTGAATCAAGTCCATTCAACATCTTGCTCTGTTATTTTGTAACAACTTCAATCAGCCTTGACCCCGTGATTTTTTTTTGGGTACCTCTTCTTTCAACTATTTCTTATCCTTTAGTGCTATGAATTTCCTTGCACATAAGGTGTTGGATTCGAACCTACACCAACTTTGTGTAACATAAAATGCAAAATCACATGACCACACAAGTTGTTATGATTCAAACATAGACATAAATATATATAATATATTATCATATAAATAATATATGTAATATATTGTTATATAAAAAATTATATAATTTTTTTTTAGCCATTTCGAGCCGAACACGAGCGAACAAACTGTTGTTCATGTTCGACTCGTTTACATTTCGAGCTTAAAATTTTGTTTGTGTTCGGCTCGTTAGGCTTAACGAACGAGCCGAACACGAGCTGCTTAACGAGCCGAACACGAGCTGTTCACGAACAACGAGCCAAATTGACAGCCCAACTAACAAGGATGATGTTGCAAGAGAAGTTATCTTTTACTTATCCACTTTACTCAACATCCATGTGTTATTTCTACTCTAATCTCCCTAGAAGACGTTTATATCTAACTTAGATATAAACATATATAATATATTATTATATAAATAAGTCAAAACACGAGCGAATAAAGAGCTGTTCGTGTTCGACTCATTTACTTCACGAATGAGCCGGACACGAACTGTCTGCGAACAACGAGTTTTTTTGACAGCCTTACTTCCAATATTTCGAGTTTCACTCGATCTTCCATTCATCTGAATTAGTTGACCTAAACCCTCACTTCTCCCAAGGAAATAGAAATGCTTGATTAGTTGCAAGCTAAAATCTTGGGAAGTGCACCCACAAAATATGGAGGTTTGGATTAAGAAAAAAAATTTATCTTGTTTTCAAATATTGCACATAAATAATTTATTTACAATAATTTAATATTTTTTTTTAAACTATATAAATGTTGCATTCAAGGGGTCGTATATTTCTATATCCCTAAAGTTAACAAATTATACAAATCTGACTTCCACGATTCATTAGAATTATTGGTGTAGATTCTCATCAGAAGCAAATTTTGAATGAACGACTGATTTAATTACGTTGGCATTCGGTTTGGTTAATATTTTATGGTGAATAATTGAAGGCTTTTTTTGTCAAAATGTCCATATCTTTTTGATTTAGAGGGAGGATGGAAAGATATCAACCCTATCCGTTTTATATTAACATAAAATAAAATTAGATGATGTATATATGTTAAAGATTATGAAATTTACATATTTAATATTTAAGTGTTATCATGTTTATATGATAAAACGATCCGTTGGATTTTCGACGAACGACACGTCAATTTCGACTTGTTAATGAGCCTGCAAGTCCAGCTTATTAAGCTGCAAGCTCGAGCTCATCAAGGTTTGGTTTGTTAGCACGCAAGCTAGCTAGACTAGCTGGATTTCAATAACGTTAATGCATTCTCCAACGAGTAATAGCAGTATTTCTCGTTCTCTCCCACCATCAATCACTTAGATGGCTTCTTCGGTGAACTTTCATGGCATTTCATGCGAGCCCACGAGCCCGCTACTGGTTGCTAAGCATTCTGTCGTTCGCACTACTTGATGAATATAAAGCTATGGTTTCAAAATTTATTGCATCTAACCTTTGCAATTGACTCCACTAGAAATATTGTTTAGTTGGGGTTGAGTTTTTTAAATATTCAATATGAATTAGTTCTCCAATTCATCAACCAATCATCAAAATCAATCAACCTAATGCACAACCCTAAGCTGAGATGTAAAAATCAGGCAGGCAGGTTGGCAGGCAGGCAGACGGACCTAATGATATGAAAGTTAGTCTAATACAAGTCAAATCAAGCCCAAATCAAATCATTAAACCACTATTAGAGGATTTTCAGAGGCATTTAAAAGGTCAAACGAATGTCGAATATAACGAGTTCATTGTTGAATCGAGTGTCTCGACAAAATGAATCCAACGAGCCCAAGATTGCTCAATTCCGACATCGTTAAGACACTCCAATGTCCATCAAACGTCATCTGATCAAAGGAAGCTCTCCGGACCGTCCGATCAAAATTGTTCATATTCCTGCATTAATTGCACTCAAAACACTATAAATAGAGTCTCACCCCTCAAATGAAAGGGAGAAGACTTAAGAGAGAACTTGAGGCTTTGAGAAATAGCTCAAGTCCAAGATCATCATCGCCATCATCGATCGTCGTCGATCACCACTGACCGTCGACAACCACCGTTGACCTCCGTCGATCACCGCTGTCTTCTGTCGACCACCGCCGACCGTCATCGATTATCGTCAACTATCGTCGATCACCGCCGACCTCCGTCAATCACCGCTGACTAGACGTCGTCAGTCAAAGTTGTAATTTGGAACTAGTAACACTTTCCCGCCTGTGGGACAAGAGAATCTGTAATCATCAACTTATAGTGGATATTTACAACTGGGCCAGACCCCGTGGTTATTCCCCTTTACGGGTTTTTCACGTAAAAACTTCTGGTGTTATCACAGCTTGATTCATTTTCATCTGAGTGTGTGCTGAACCCTCGCGCAACGCTTAGACGATAATCCATTACTCTACCGCCGTAAATTTTCTAGCACGCATCAAGGAAAATGCAAGTAAAATGACTGTTTCACATCATTGTACAAGCATGGTATTAAAAGTCAAAAAGAGATAAATATAAACATCAAACATTGTCAGATATGTAAAAACATAAAAATTATGTGGTATGTATATAAACTTCCCATCAACACCACTCAACCTTTATAATTAGCAATATTTTGCCTTCTTTAACTCTACAAAGTCAATAAAGCTATGAAAACCTTTCACGAGTGTGAGCCTGAAGGAGGGTCACAGGAAGCCCGAGGCTTGAGCTTTATTTACATATCAATCAGTCCCCCAAGAAATTAACATTGACATATTTACCTCTAATTGCCTCGTTGACTTCATAAACCCATTCATTTTAAATATGATTGTAATAAAGACTAATCAATTAACAAAATAAATGGCATTTATGATAACCTAACCTGGCACCGTATGCCAATCCTATTTCAAGCCAGTTTCATGAATCTTTCGTTTTCACTCCTATTTAATCCAATCAGATAATGGAAACTCATGGAATTAAAGGAAAAAAAGAAGTTGATTAATAGCTATAATTGTTAGCAGGGGCGAAACGAGCCTTCTTTTTAAAGGGTGCAAATTGCCCCCAGACTCCACATGGGAAGGGGTACAACAACGAAGGACAATAATATTTCAGGAAGCTCAAAACTAATATTTCAGAAGGGCAAAAGACCAAATTGATCTCTATATAAATAAAAATCTGAATTTGAGAGGGGAGGGGGGGGAGGGTTCGCTCTTGGTTGTTAGGAAAGCTCTAAAAATCTATCACTATGGCTCCCTTAAATGCAATATGTGAATTGAATAATCTTGGGTAAGAATTTTTTTATTTTACTATTTTAGAATAAAAATAAGTAAAAAAATAAGTAAATCATGAGGCATTTTAATTCAATAAATTTCGATATGTACATACGTAAAACTAAAATCGGCAATATCACGTCAAAAATATCATTTTTACTCTTTTAAAAAATAAAATACACCTTTTATGCATACTAAAATATCATACATATATAAGATTTATATGGCATGCATGTAAATCTTCCTAAGAATTTTAATATCTTAAAATTTGCATATTGCTATTATGCATTTCTCGTACGAGAGCGTGCGCTTGGAGCAAATACAATGTATACGTACGTTCAACGACTGCGATATAGGGGGTATATGAACGTACGTAATATTTTTTCGTGTGCATTTGTGTGTGTATATATATATATATATATATATGTATAGGACCATTTAAATATACCAACAAATTCCTATGTATTTTCATATCTAAAGCCTAAAGTTTACTTTTTTTACATTTATACTACTCTAATCTTTCACATCACATCAAAAGCACCACCATTTTAATTTTAAAAAAGTGTAATTCACCTTCTCATGCATTGACAAGGTAGCATAGGAAATTTAGAAGTTAGATATGTAAATATATGGGGATTGAGTGGTATGTATGTAAACTTCCATATATAGTTTTGCATAAAGTCTATAAATGCAGAAGAAGAAAGAAGAGTCTGAAGAGCGTACCTTGCAGAGATGACTGCTGCAGTGAAAAGAGAAGCTAAGCAAGAAGAAGATGGAGCAGTTGCAGAAACTGAAGCTGATCTGAAAGGGAAGAAATTATCGTGGGGAAAGCTTCGTGGAATCGACTCGTTTAATTTTGAGGCTGGAAGAATCCCAAATATTCATGATCATGGCATCAAGGTTTCACATATTTCATTTTTATTAATTCCTGCAAAACATACATATCATCATAAACATCAAAATTTCATTTTCTTATTTTAAGATAATTGTAAAGTAAATAATAGACTGCTCCTCGTCTTCTATTTTTATTTATTTATTTAGGGTCCGTTTGAGGCAGCTTGTGCGTTTCAGGTTAAGCTGCTTTTCCTGAAACGCCGGGCCCACGGGCCGATCGCAGGGGTCGACCCGCGGCCTGCGTTTAGTGTAACTGGTGAAACGCGCGAACCAAACAGTATGACGGCATTTTGAAAGCTCCGCCCGCACTTATAAACTGCCCCAAACAGACCCTTAGTTTATTTTTGAAAATCTAAGCATGTTATGGCTTTATTGATATATGGTTTGTAGTTTGTCAATAGTTTTGTGGAGCAGTAAGAATAGTTTCAGGTACTGGAGCTTTCTCATGCTGTTCAAATCTTGATTGAATTGGTATAGATTGGAAAAAAAAAAAGTTGCATAATTTACAGAATAGCCCTCTAAAAGAAGAATTGTAAATTCATTTTAAATTGTTTGGTTGATTTTGGGCTTCAATTTCATATATCTTTAAAGGCTTTATGTCAAATGTTATACATATATATATAAAATCATTTTGACAGTCATAAATTTCAACAATCAATTATTTCAAATAAACTTAAGTCTGATTAAGGAGAAAATATTACGTGCGGCAGACCGCATGCCCGAATGACGGTCCCAATGCGGCCACGTCGCCGTGTATCGCACGATGACCCATCTGAATCGTCGTCCAGCCGTGCGATTGCAACACGTAATATTTGCTCCAATTTGAGAGGGGTCACCACTATACATCCATCCAATAAAACTTTTTTTAAGCATGTGATAAAAGACTCCTAATATAATAAAAGCATAGCTAAAAGAAAAAAAAAAATTCAATCCATGATATTACAAGGAACATTTACATACATACCACTCAATTATATTCTCATGTATTTACATATTTAACACCTAAACTTCAATTTTACATATATGTCATTTTTAATCTTAGATATAAATCTCTTGCCACAATTAACACTTTTAACCTTTAAATAATTTGTATTTAAGCAGGTGGGATGGACAAGCACATTTAGTTTGGCATTCCAGAGCATAGGGGTGGTGTATGGAGACATAGGCACTTCACCTCTCTATGTATATTCAAGCACCTTTATTGATGGAATTAAGGAAAAAGATGACATATTGGGGGTTCTATCCTCCTATCCCTCATTCTTTATACCTTAATAATCATACCCTTGATCAAATATGTTTTCATTGTGCTGTGGGCAAATGATGATGGTGATGGTGAGTGTATTTCTTCTCGCGCAAAGTGTCAAAATAGTACCCTGACCATTTAAATGGTGTTATTTTAGTCCCATAGTCTTTAAAAGTATCAAATTTATCTCTACACTCTTTTAATATGACTAAAGTGCCAAAATAGTCCCCGAGTATTTATATGGGTTGTTTTACCCTCAGAGTTTATAGAAATGCCAAAAATAGTCCCCAATTACTTTAAAATTAAGTTATATAGTCCTCTGTTGGGAGGAGAATTTAAACCCCAAATTCATGAGCTTGTAGACTAATTTGACACTTCTATAAACTCGGGGACTAAAACGGCCCCATGTATATAATCAGGGTCTATTCTGTCACTTTACTCCTTTTAATATGGGTTAAAATAGTCCCTTTAGCCTTCGTT